TGACATATGACGTCTTGGTGGTTACATTTATATTACATCGAGATTTCTCTGCACATTTTATTCAGTCTTATTTTCCCTGTATTCTCATAGTTGGATTAAGCTGGGTGTCTTTTTTTGTAAATTATAAAGCAATTCCTGGTCGTGTATCATTTGGTATGTATTATTTTAGTATGGATTATTGAAGTAGTATGTTTTTCTGCTAACTATTTTTGATATTAAATTACATGTATACACTACATTCTATTTCTATTATGCTTTAATTATGATAATTATGTTATTTTTAATCTACTTAATTACAGGTTTTCTTTACTCTTAGGCATCAATACATTTTTAGCAATAGTCTATATGACAAATAGTATTCGATTGACAGCACCGATTTCCAAAAACCTGCGTAGTCTTGATTACTATATGCTGTTTTGTATGATTTTTGTATTTGGAGTTTTATTTGAGTATGCTCTTGTTGGTATCACTGATCCAGATTTTTCTTTATCTTGGAGGATTAAAAAAAAGAAGAATTTAGATGTTAGTGTAAGATTTTTTATATTTCTTTTACTAAATAGTAAATAGATTGTTTTTTTTTTTACTTTATGTTTATTTCACTATGTAAAATACAAAGCAAAAACAAATACAATGTTTATAAATTCTATATAATTCTAGTATTACATGCTTTTGTTGTATCACCTTGTCTTATTGACTATATATGTTATTGACTGAAGTCATTTTTAAGGAGTATAGTTCTAGGACCCCTAAAAAATGTTATAAAGAGTTGTTTAACCTTGAGCCCATAAAAAAAATATGTAATAAAAAGTCATTTAATCCTAGAACTTATAAAAAATATGCCATTTAATCCATGGACCAATAAAATCTCTGATATTGAATGTGTTGAATTGTTCTATTTTTTATAGCAATTAAATCAACCAAAAAACAAACAATTGAGTTATAAGCTATAAATCATTCTTCATTTTAGGATGTTGATGGTGAATGGGATGATAAGGGCTGGTCTGTTTGAGTAATCAACTTTAAGTTATTAGGCAATTTTTTTTTCCTGATTTCCTAACAACTGAAGGTGTTTAAAAATATTTAGATATGTGAAAGAGCCTGAAATTGGCTTCTTGGGTTTTCATGGTTCTATATGTATGGAACTCCATTATATAAAAAACACTCAAGTGGTTTAATTTTTTTAATCAATTTTTAAGTTTTAATAAACAAATCAAAAAATTTAGAATCACAAAAGAGAATTATTAATCATTATTATGCTTGTTGATTCTTTTAGTGTAATAAAGTTTGCACAGCTGTTTTTAATGCTTTAGTACTCTTAAAAAAATAAAATATAGTCTTTAAAATTAGGAAATTAAAGAACATTATTAGAATTATTCATGCCTTTTGGCAATCATCAACCATTTTATTTAAAAATATAAAATAAAAACCTTTGTAAAAAGTAAAAGTTTAGCGTTGCAACGACATTTGGCATTAAATTTATTCTCAGGCCTTGTTTAAAAGTGTTATGCAGCATTTTATGCATGACAATTTGCATATACATACAGCAGTTTTATGTTAAGCAAAAACTTTTTTATTTTGTAATATTCAAATTATCATTTAATATCATTTATGTAATCAATTTTTTTAAGAAACAAATTATTTTACAATTTTTTTTTTTTTTTAGGTAAAAAAATTTTTTTTAATTAAATATGATTTTAAAAATTAAAATTTAGTTTTGAAGGAATGTAAAATAGTTTCATAATATTTATTAAAGAAATTTTTTTTCTTATAATCTACTAACAAATTGACTACATAAAACATAAGTTTCTCCATCATAGATTAATGTTAAAAGCAAATAATTTTTTTTTTCATGTAAAAAGTGTTTTTTTGTATAAGAGAACTTTTCACACAAATGTATTTAAAAGTTTATGTTTCTTATTAATTCAATATTGTGTTCTTTTTACGTAGTTCATTTATGATCATAAATCATGTTTACAAATATATTATTGGTAACTGATCAGATCTATCTGTAAATTGTTTATAATCTTTATTTAAAATATTATATTAAATATGTAAAAAAGAAAATAAATAAGTTATGATAAAGAAACAAAAGGTTATGTTAAGTATTATTTTAAGAAATAAGTTCTTAGTGAATATAATTTTAAATAATGAATTTAGATTTCATCAGTAATATATTAGTAATATTTTTTAAATATTGTATAAAAAGTTGTATTCTTCTTCAAATATACGATTTGCATTGTTCATGTTAACTTTAATTTTGAACAATAGTTTTCTTAATATTACTTTAATATTGTACTCTAGGTTCCTAAATATAATAAATGAGGTGTTGAATTTACAATTTCACTATCAAAACAAATTAACAAAGAGTATTGTCTGCTTCTGCAGCTAAAACGGTTCCAGAATGTTACCCATAAATAAACACTGCTAATATCCACTCGTTGCAGGAACCAGCATTAAATGATTATCTGCTTTCCATTATGATGACATTCGTTATTGTTATTAATGTATTATTCCATTTCCAATGCAAACCCATTTGTATGTTATCTTATGCTTGACATCTAAAATTATTGCGACGTCACGTCACGTAAATGCCATTTTGCACATTCAACAAATTTTGATGAGGATTAAGTGTAGTTTTTTTTTTTTTTTTTTTTTTTTTTCTTATTTGGTTGCATGTTGTGTTGCACCTATTGCATGCTGACAGATTTGTACAAGTAAGATCTGATATTTTTGTAAACAATTGGTAAGATGTAAACTAGTTTAGTGAAATAAATATTGAAACAGGCATAATTTAATAAAAAATTTTTGTATTGTGATGTAGTGACACACAACACAATGATATTTTACTTTTAATATTATAATTATTGATGGTACATGATAAAAGCTAAATTTGATATTATAAGTTTATGGGCAAGAAGACTTTTTAGAATAGCCTACAAGCTAACATTGTGCATTTTTAGTTTCATTTTATGAATTTCATATAAATAATTTTCCATTACATAATACAGTTTCCTAATTTAATGTTATATTTCTTAATTGCACATTACAATTTCTTAATCACAACTTTAATGTTCTCAATTACATCTTGAATAAAACCTGTCTGCTAGAGATCTCTAACAGAAAGAATAAAGGTAGAATAATAAGAATAAAGACCTTTATTTAAAGACTGTCCAGAATGAAAATGACCATGAGTTTTTTAAAATACTTTAAGAACCACCTAATAAATTTTGATAATTTTTTTTACAGTTTAAATCAAAATTATCTCTAAATACAGTATAGTTTTAAAGAAACAATAATCTTCAAGTTGGTGACAATATTTTTTCAATTTGAACAACAGTTTTTGTAACACTTTGTGATGCTTTTGGATCAAAGGCAAAAGTTGCTTTTTAAACAATCTTTCATGTAAACATTGGAGTTTGTGTTTCCATTCCTGAAAAAATGCTTGAGTTTTGAAAGCCCAGGAACAAGTAGCTTGCCAAACCAAAACTTTATTAGCAAATTTTTTGAAGTAAAAAAAATTCCAGGATTTGATCTTATCAGAATTGTTTAAAATAACTGGCCTAGGAATGTCAAACAGTCAGGTTTGACATTCCCAGGTTTGATCCCCCACCCCCATCTTGTTCACTCACATTCTACTTTATTTTTTTAATAAAGCATAAAACATAATGTAGAAATGTAAAATAAAATTTTGAATTTCTAGTTTGTTATATATTCTATACTATATTCAATAATAATCCCCAAATAGAATCCAGCACAGCAATCTTTTTTTTTTTACTTATATAATTGTTTACTATATGTCTAGATTTATCAGAAATGTTGCTGGGGGTAGATATTTAAAGATAGATTTTACTTGAGCATATATTGTACTCGTTTTATGCAAATCTTTTTTAAAACAAATATTTGCTTTTTAATATTATAAATTATATTATAAACATATTAAAATTAATATTATGAATTTAATATTATAAATATATTTAAAAGTTTTTAAAGGTTATTGTTTCTGGGTAACTGTGAATTAGTAAAATTGTTTAACCTTGCACCACCTTTAAATATTACTGAATCTGTCTCATTTTTGGCTTAAGGGCTCCTCTCATGTATAGAAACATATATATATATATATATATATATATATATATATATATATATATATATATATATATATATATATATATATATATATATATAAAAGCGCAAAGATTAATTGGACCAATGAGAAACAATCACAAAAAAAAAAAAAAAAAAAATTAGGCAAAAAAAAATATCTTTAAACGCAAAAAAACTTAAAGCTAAATAAATTACGTTTAGAACAAGTATTTTCGAAACATCGCTCTTTTACAATTTTTATGTTTTTCATATAAAGTAACATCTTACGATTGTTTAAAAAGGAAACAAATATTCTTTATTTAACTAAAAAAAGTTAAGTTTTTAATACCTATTTTATGTTTAACGTAGTTTGAAAAGTTTAACATATTTGAAGCAGTTCTTCTTAGTAAGATAAACAAATTAAATAATTAAATTATTGAATTACTGTAGAAATTAAATTAACAAGATAGAAATCAACTAAAAAGGTTAAAAATACTTTATGATAAGGAAGCGAAACTGCTTCGCAATATCGCTGATGATGTTTAGTGAGTGGGCTTTTTAATTTTAATTAGTATTTAAAGCAGAAAAAAGTATAACAAGTTTTCAGAATGGTAACTTAAGCGAAAATAATTAGAGTTAGTAAACCAATTTCTAGAAACTTTTCTTTATATCTAGTTATTTTCTATATATATTTGTGTTCTGTCATGACCTCAGGCGCGGTGCTTGTTTATCCGCAAGTTACTTTGTATGCGTTGTTTGTGTTTAGTAACCAGAAACTTCTTATATGTTTGTTACATAATTAGTTTTATTAACTTTAATGATTATAACTTCATTAAAAATGCAATTATTTTTGTAAGTCTTTATTTAAATCATAAAAATTGCTTTAAAAGATACATTACGATAAAAAAAACAGATACACAAAATTACATTTACATACTTTTTAAATAAAAAATAAGAATATACTAATAAAATCAATAATTTATAATAAACTTTCAAAATTTTGACAATTTAATTAATATATATTTAAAACATTTATTTTTGTAAACAAATAGTATATATTCTTAAAACAATTTATGCTAGAAATCTCAAAACGTAACAAATCATGAATAATACAATTTCTAAAACATTTCTATAAACAGAATACTCTAGAACTTTATTTCGCTTAATCAGCTTTTTTTTTGAACCAATAGAATTAGTTTGTTCGTTAATTTGGCAGGTTTTTAGTGCGCGAATATTCTTTTTATTTTTTCGTACCAAGATGTTTTAAGAACATTAAAGTTTTTTATGTTTCCATGTATGTCCGTTAAACAAAAAAATTTTGTTTCGTACATAAACTTAAATGTTCTCAAAATGACTAAAAAACCTGGCCAGTTTATCGGAACTAAATATAATTTCCGTGGTCAATATTCGAGAGCGATCGCTCCCGCTTCCCGACCAAGCCTGAT